CATGCATGTAGCTTTTGTATGGAGAAACCTATTGATGGAATGCTGGGTCGATGGAGTTTTCTTATAAATGTCTCTAAGGAAGTGATTGGTGTGAGAAGGCGATAAAAATGTACTTATAGGTATTTATGTATACAGTTTCAATTTTTAATGGATTAGTGGCTGAGCTTGATAGCAATCCATTTCTTGAAAGTGTCTGAATATTAGAGCCAGTTACACAGTGGATACGAAATCATGATATTCTCTTTTAACATTCTTCAAGAGTGCGTCATGATCATTTCTAAGTTACATCACTACGGATTAAAGGGAAACAAGGGTATCAAAAAAGGCCCCGAAGGTTTGTTATAGATTTTTCCAGTTGATGTCAATGCTTCATGTGATTATTTTTTACTTGTCTTGAAAGGGCTTGACTTGCACCTTCTTCCCTTGAGGAAAAAGACCCCTACCGTGACAGTAGTGCCTATTCTTTATGGATGGGATCTTTGAAGAAGATTTTTGTTCAGTCAATTTGTTTGTTTTTTCTTTAGCACTTCAACTTTCTCTGTGGTGTAGTAAATGTGGAGGGGAAGAAGTAAGGTGGTATACGTTGAGATAAATTGCTTTACTTGTATAATAGGTCTTGGAACCTTAAATTGGCTACTATGGTAGTCAATCTCTTCATTTTGGCGACGACACCATTAGATAGCACACGACTTGTTTTCTTGTGCTTTTGTTGTTGAACGTGTCGGAGCGTTAAGTTTTTCTGTTGTAGTCAATCACTTCTTTTTGCAGAGCGTAATTGGATAACTGGATTGCTTCCCATTTTGTTGCAGAAGCTTGGAACATTAGGGCGTACTTGGAAACAAATATATCCGCTCAAAACGATTTTTTTTGTTAACTAAATTTAATTTTAAAGAAGGTGGTATTGTTAGTTGTTAGTTGAAATTTGAGTTTATATTAAAATAATATTTAAAATAAATAATTAATGTTGATTTGATATAAAAGTATGATGGAGATGATGTGAAGTGTTGGTTAGTTAAAATCAAGGTTGTTATAACCGGATCGGACCGGACGGTTCGACTAGTTGGACTGGGAACCGGCCAATATACCGGTCCGGTTTGAGGGACAAAATCAGCTTAAAACCGTTCAAACCGGCTAGCAACCGGTCAAACCGTTCACGGTTTCTGCAGACCAACGGTCCACTTGTTTCTTTGTGTAAGGATGGTTGTGGAATCATATAAAAAGCTGAATTTTTTTTTCTTACTGCTTCCGATGTGGGAGTTAATAACATGCCCAAATAATTGGGCCTTTATTAAAGCCCATGCAATGAACCATTGAACCGGTAGCTTCACCGGTTCGATGACCGGTTCAGTTTGACAACCTTGGTTAAAGTTATGTGAGTTATTCAAAGTCAATTATATCGAGCCTAGCCATTTTCGTAACACCTCAAGCCGTACTGACTATTTACTGATTTACAAACCTACCGTAGGCCCTATGGGTACGAAACTCATCTCAGGAAAAGTTGATGAATAGTGAATCAAAGTTGATGTGATGTGTAAGAATGATTGATTGATATTATTTAATTATATTGATAATATTGAGGATAGTGGGGTAAGGTTAAAGTTGAGATAGATTTTGATATAAATTGAGTTATTTATAAACAAACACACTCTTAAATTGGTTTTTTCGGTGGTCCATCTCTTCATTTTGGCTAACTGGGGATAACATCATTGGATGACAAATGACTTGAATGCTCGCGATTTTGTTGCAGCGTTTTCCCCTGGAATTTAGTTAGGCTATGTTTGATAAAACTAGCTGATAGTTGATAATCTAGCTTATAGCTTATCAGTAATTTTCGAACTTGTAGCTTATAGCTTATGACTTATTGATGAAAAACTAGCTTATATGATAAAAGTGTTTGGTAAAATTAGCTGAAATAAAAATTTCAACGAGGTTATTTGAAAAGCTACCTAAACAAGCTCATGAGCTAGCTTATTTAAATACAAAAAGCTTATGAGCGAACCAAATAAGCTATAAGCTAGCTCTTTTTTCTACCAAACATAGCCTTAATATAGCCTAATAGCCTAATATCTGGAGCAAGGATATTTGAGAACTAAGAACAGTGTTCTAAAAGTCAAATGTAGTGCTACTAATGACCGTACAAAGCTTAGAGCAATTATATGAGATGCATCATTCTTTTTCCAGTTCTTTCCTTTCTAATAGAAAGTATACAATACTACAGTTTTGGTTATTATTATGAATACATGGAGTTGACGTGTCAATTTAGTCGCATAGCATGGGATGGACAATTGGAAAAGAATAAATTCATTACCTTCTTAGAAACCCGATCATGTAATATTCTGTTACAGAAGCTATTACATTATTAGCAGTCACATAAGTGCATAAACGTGTCAATGAATCCTCCCACGAGATAACATCTTTTTAATGTTCCAAGTTCAATGTGGAAACAAATATTTTCAGAATCTTAGTTGTATAGATACATCTATTTTCAGACATTGGTATATTGTCATAGGTATTCACTTTTATGCCACCATTGTGCCACAAGGACTTCCAAAGAAAGAAATCAAATCTGATAGGTTGACGTGGAGGACGAGTGATGAGGCAGGAGCAAGAAGATCTTAATAATATAGTTGACTGAAATGTCTGTATTTCAAAATTGAGTGGGGAATGTGTAGTTTTCTAATTTGCCATGTTACGTCTCGTGCCACAAGTGGCTTAAGTTATGAACATTACTGACATCATTGTGTTGTGCTGGAGTGCAGTGTATTTATTTGAGACTCAGCGTGGAGTGCTATCCAATTGACATATGAGTTCTTGTACTGATGCATTGGGGACATGCTTTACTATGTTAGGTGTGCTTTGTGTTTTTAGTCGTTTAATTAGATGCTCTACTAGCTTGATCAAATTGTTTATCATTGGGAAGTCTATACTTGAGTTAGTGTTAAAGAACAAGTACGGGTGCACTCATATAACAACCTTTATCAAGGTTGTGACATCATTGATCATATTATTTCTTAAATATAATCACTTGAATGCTTACATTTTAATTCTATGTGCCTGGCATAGAACTTGCATTTCATGAAGTCAAGTCCCTCAGAATGATTTTTTATTTTGTGATTTTATTTGCTTGCAAAGAGATTAAAGCGTATAGCTGTGTTGTCCGTGGTGTGGGACAAAATTTAATTCAGACCTATTCTATAGTTTACCGCTGGAGCCTAACCTAGTCAGAAGAAACTTTTCGTGGAAAATCAAGTATCAATGTATTTGATAATGCTTTATGGATTATTCTCATTGCTTCTAGGTTTATAAAATGTAGTTCACCAGAATTTTATGATCAAGGCTATGTTTGGTAAGACTAGCTGATAAGCTAGCTTATAGCTTATATGTAATTTTTGAGCTTATAGCTTATAGCTTATGATTTATAGTTGAAAAGCTAGCTTACATGATAAAAGTTTTTGGTAAAATTAGCGCTAGCTAAAATAAAAAATTCAACTAGCTCTCGAGCTTTTTAAAAATGCTCGTCCTACCAAACAAGGCTTATTTGAATACTGGAAGCTTATAAGCTAACCAAATAAGCTATAAACTAGCTTATTTGGCTTACTAAACATAACCCAAGCCTCATGTTCGACTTCTGAAGTTCCTTAATTACGTTATGGTCCCATGGGCACCTGCTTGATAATTTTTGTTGTTCGACTCTGCCAAGTCTGCATCTGCATCTTGATCCTCAGTTTGTTAGCTTAATTAATTGTAAATTTGTAGGTGTGGTGATGACTTGCATTACTATGTACACTTATGTCAAGATTTTCACTTACTGAGAACAACCAGTTGGACTGCTGACAACATTCTATAAAGGGGATACTAACTACCAAATATGAGACCTTGATGAATTATTTCACTGTTTTATTGCTGGCAAAAGTCACGTTACTGCTTCTTTCTAAAAAAATCATTACAACCAACAAGGACACTTCTTTACTACTATTTTATTTCATTTATTATCCTTATTTTATTGATTAACAATGGTTTCTTTTTCGGTTGACTTCTTTTTAAAGTTGATTGAGATGAAAATCTTGTTGTGTTTATGCACATAATATTGTGTTATTTGTTCATTTCTCATTCAAATATATTGTTACAACTTACAATAGCAACCTTCTTATTTTATAGTGAATTGATTAAATTGAACCAGTGCTTCTGCTGATCCTAGTGATTTGATTTCTAGGATCCAGAGTAGATTGTAAATTGTGCTTTCTTTTCCGTTATATTACTGCAATAATTTCTATACATTATTTTCTAAATTTTTGGACTTTTAGGTATAGATTTTTGTGATGCCCGATGCGGGAAATGATCTTTTTGTCTTTAATGCTTAAAATAAATAAAATGCATGAACAGCCAGTACTTACGTTTTCAACCTGAAGAATGGCGTCAACTATAATTAAGTTTAAAGGATTAGTTAGCACCGGAGTAAGGATGTTGATTTATTCTCTTTTCCGTAAGATTTTGTCAATGTGATTGCACACATTATATTTTCAACCATAATTTAGTTTTTTATGAATTCGATCATGTGTATATTATTGTAATTTTTTGATGTTTTCCTTGTCTGCCGCCACCGAGATTTTAAACAATACACTTGCTTTATAAAAATGACCGATCTTTACATTTAACCTTACTGTAATTTATTAGATATTCTCATATTCAGTAATCATGTTTGATATTTTTATCATTATTTTTATTTGTGTAAGTTGTACTAGAAATTCGTGTTATACACACTATAGGATTTGACTGGTCCTTCTGCATTTGACTTCTGTCTTCATGTGTGAAATTTGAAATTTTAAACTTTTTCCATCATGATGTAATTGTGTTTTGCACTTTCTTTATATAAATGATTGGTCATCTTTCCAACGCTACTAGATATTGCGAATATAAATATAGATTTTTTTGTTGAGGAAACTATTTTTGTCTCTACAGGTGAATGAGTTTTGAGGGTTATAACATCAACTAGTGTGTTTATGGCTTCAGTGGGTATGGCACCTGCATCTGGCTTAAGGGAGTCAGGTACTCGTGCTGTGGGGGTTGATAGGTTGCCCGAGGAGATGAATGACATGAAAATCCGAGATGACAAAGTAGACTCTTGCTCCAGAAATATATATTCTATAGCTTTATTCCTTGCAAGTATTTTTATCTTGAGTGTGCCTAAGCCTAAAACATTGATGGA